TATGATGATCGGATACACTTCAAGTATGAATAAGAAACGTAAAACTAATCTAAGCAAAATAATCAACAGAAAGTAAATAACATATAAGCTCTCCAAATTGTTCCTTTCACTAAGATATGAGGTTTTGGTCTTCACCAAGAAAACGGGTTTGTCACAAAGACGAATGGCACAAAGCCACAATCATAACTACCACGACCATACCATTAGGGTTTGCCCTAATGTTGTATATAGACTAATCTATACATGCATATCCCATGATTGAAGGGATTGTATCTAATCTATACTAAGAACCGATCTTATCATAAAGATACCGAAAGTGTGATCTATTTTATACTTATCTTTATCATTAACTAATATACAAAGATTTACAATCGGATAACTAAACTGTAAGCTGACGCTGATAAACTTGATACGATAGAGTATCGACGTGGAGAAGTTGACGCTGATAGAAGCTGACATTGACTCATCAGATCATAAGGTGTGACCTTACACTTGCATTATTCCAATGTTTGAACAAGCTTAAAACAAATATCATAGTATTTATTATAATATTGGTTAACATGTTATATCATCAAATATATATCTAAATTATGCAAGACTTCCTGGAAGTTAAGAATAACTATTTCTAGTATGATGTTAGAAACATCTTGAGCATCATAGTGATGCATTTACTTGGTATCACGTTTAGTTCTATTGCTCAAAGAAAGTTGTTTAGGACTAGGACTTTTAAGTGTATTCAATTTCACATTTCTCACGAGATTATCTCTCAAGACATGAATCCATTCATTGAAGTTGTATCTAGTGAATGTTATTGTTTGTTTAAGTCATTAAAGAAAATGACAATTCATGGATATGAGGGTGCATTATATATCTATAGAATTTTAATAAAATTCATTTAGTATTATTAATATTTAATCTTTAATAATTAATACCTTTTTGGTTTCCAAAACCATTAATTATCAAAGTCTAGGATCTAAGTTGCAAAACAAATAAATGGTTAGGTAACATTTATCCCATCCATTTAAATTCTACATGGTAGATATCGATTATCGATTATATCTTACTATATAATTCCTAGATATATAGGATCGCTAATAACAAATTTAGCGAGACATGTTTAATCCCATCTATGCCTCAGAACTCTCATGCTTAGGTATCCTTTATCACAAAAAATTTCCGATCAAATAATCCAATTTGAAAAACTTGTGTAATCAGCCTATAACTTGGTTATAGAAATCACAAAAACACCCTGACCATCAAAAGATAACACTAAGCGGTTAGGTGACCTTTATCCCACTAGTGCATACAAGAGATGTGCGAGTGTTCTTAAAAAAGGATTGCATATATCTGAGGTTTGTAAGGGGTCTTTGATGTTTTTATAATTCTAGTTTTAAAAACATATTATATCATGATTATTGCATGCATTCAATAAACCATGTTATACTCTTATTTTATTGAAAAAATCACATTTTAACAATGTTCTTATATAAAACCCGGTTTTATAAAGTTGACGAAATCAAATTTTAATAGCTAGTATTAAGTCGATGTTTAAGTGCTTTAGAAAATTTGTAAACCTTTTAATAAAACATCCTTTTACAAAATAAGTTTTGGAGTTTTATAAGTTTGCAAATCTCTATTTTAAACTTATATGATTTTAATCCCGAAATTTTACCAGTTACTAGTTTTAACGATAAAGCTTGTTTTATTTTTAAAACTATTTTTACCATCTTATGTTAAAAGGTAAGTCTCATTAAAACCAAACACCTTTGTGATGTTTATTTATGTTCAAATATTATTTTGCATTTTGAAAAACTAATTTATCAACCACATTATAATAATAACAACATAAATATTGAACAACACAATCATGCTATAAACATATGTGCGTAAACCAAGCCATAAACTAGTAATATTTTTGCGAGCCATCACAAAACATATTAAGTCCATTCTTAAAGGGACATAAGGGACCTTCATTTTGTAAACTCTTCATCTGCTCCCACTTGCTTCAACACCCTGTAACAAGCTTATAAAAATAATTTTATAAAGTTTGAGAAACTTCAATAAAATCAAGTTTATAAACTTTTGATCTTCAAAATGTCCACCATCTTCATTCTTGTTACATTCTTATAAAATAAACTATTTAAAAAAAACTAATATATTACTTACAAAAATTAACAAATAAAAACTATCTATTTAATTACTACATACCATACAAATAAATAAATAATTACAACCATTTCAAATAAATCAACACATGCAAAAACACAAAGGTCCATGGCTAGTTTATGCACATCGTACAAATTTATATACTCAAAATTATATAAAACAACTCTTTGTTTTTCTAAGACAACTTTTATGACTAAAAAGATGAATATAAACTTTTAATCAAAAATAACAATTATAAATGTTTTAAAGTTGTCATAGAAAATATATATGAAATTTTTTTACAAAGAGAAAATCATCCATGTTTTCCTAGAACAAAGATTTCATCAACTTAACAAATAATCTAACTAATCTTGCAAAAATGGCTCTAATACCAATTGTTGAGTTTTTATTCAAAAATTGTTTCAAAAGCATAAACAATGCAACGGAAGACTTAAGATTTGAAAAAAAATAAAAATAGTTTTATTCCCACCAAAAGATCATTTTGCAAGAGTTAGAAAGATTTAAACAACCATAGAAGAGAAAGCATAACAACCTTTGATGACTTTGATTCTCATGGGAGGTTGGAAGTTGATGAAGTATGACATTCAACTCTTATAAAATGTTGTTCTTAAGCTTTAAGACATATGTCAAAATATGTCTAAAGAGAACCAACACTTTATGCCTTCACTTGTAGCACTATATTGCAAAAGAGAAGATGAGAGGGAATGCCTTTTAGCTCTCGGAAATTGGGAGAAAAAAGACGAAGTTTTCAAAGAAAAAACTAACTCACATGTGTTCTATACACTTGTTTATATATTAAGACCAAAAGTAAGAGTAGACCATAAAGCAAAAGTAAAGGCTTTTCTTACAAGCATGGAGTAAATGAATAAATAATTCAACACTCCATGGAACATGTCTTTTAATCATATAACTAGTGACACATGAGAGGCATGGATTTAAATATTAAACAATTCATAAAGCATTATTGTCTCTTTGACTAGGTATTGTTTATATATAGATATATATATAGATATATATATATATATATAGATATATATATATATATATATATATATATATATATATATATATATATATATAGATCAATTTATATGAAAGTCCATCAATCATATAAAGTGATTTCATGATATATACATAACAAATAACTTGTCATATATAAATATCCCTTTTATATAAAACTTCTTTTTATATATAAATAAACTCTAACTAGTTTATTAAGATATAAATATAACTTGTAAATAATCATACTTTATGATATATTTCCTAATTTGTTATTTCTCCAATAAATATTATTTCCATAAATAATAAATTCCCAATTAGTAAAATATTATTTCCATGAAATAATAATTTTCTAATTAAATACAAGTGTTGATATATTTATTAATAATCAAATTATACTAATAAATACTCAATTGATGGTAACTTGCTATAAGGTGTGACCCTAAAGGATCATATATTATTAGTAATATCATTCTGTAATGACTCTTGGGCATACAAGATCTTTCAAGTGACCCCAAACTTCTTCCTCATGATCAAGAAACTGTTCATATTTTAAATGGATTCACGGTCGTTCCTGAAGAGTTCCTTGAGCATATTCTTGATGGTGTCAAGATGAGCACTGAATGGCGCCGCCGCCGAGAGATGCCCGAGTTCTTTTTTGTTAATGGAGGTAAGATTTATGTTTCTCTCTTTACACATACATATTTCTCCCTCTCTCCCTTTTTCTTAAACAAAATGGTGGCGTTTGTGCTGTAGGGGAGGAAGGAATGCTATCTGTCTCTAACGTGTTTAGGAAGAAATTTAAGGGGGAATTGCAGTTCCGTCCCGTTGCTCTGTATGCCACCCTTCCTATTCTTAGCTGGATACTGGCCCGAGTTACTCCCACTGTCTCTTCTCCTTAACAATTGGTTGTTGTTGTTGGGGATACGCCCTCTTCAGGTAATTAATCTAACGTTCCTACTCTAGAGTCTCCCCTTCCAGAAATCGTGAAGGCTCAGAGCGTGGGGAGGACAAAAAAGAAGGAATTTTGACCATAGTTGTGTCCCATGGGTTAAGGAAGAGAGGGTCGTTGAGCATTGAATGTCATCTCGGTGCTGTGAAGGGGAAATCCATTACAGATCATTCTCGTTGGAGGAAACATACGACTAACTTTTTCGCCACGTTGATGCCCTCCGGTGAAGAAGTTATAAGCATCCTTGATGACGACGTTCACCAGTCCGAAGGGATGCAAGGGGCATCTAAACAACCCATTGTTGACAAAGGTCCCTCTGGTACTATTCCGGAGCAACTCCCGTTATCAAAACAAACCAAATGTCTTACTGCTTAAGAGATGTCTGGTTACGATGATCTCATTGCCAGTCTTCAGGGCAAAAATCCCACTTCTAACAACATCTTTTCACCCAAATATAATCTTACTGATGAATCCCACATTTCCATTCAGGAGGTTGCTATAGAATTCTCTCGCCATGCTTTCCCTAAATAAATTATTGCTGAGATGGAGGCTGTTACAGATGATCATACGGTTGTTTTCATGGAGTTTGCTTTTGCCGAGAGTGTTTTTTCTTGCTACTGGAGCTCGGCGCATCTGACACCTTAAGAGTGTGATATTCAAACTTTGTTCCAATGAAAAGAACACACAACAGCATGTGGCCTCACTGGAGGCTAAAGTTGAATCCTCCCATCAGCAACTGAAGCTATTGGATGGCGAGAAGATGACTCTGGAGGAACGGTGTGGTAATGTAGAATAGAAACTCGATGATACTCTTCAGAAGAACAAAGCCTTGAGTATCCGAGTGGAAAGCCTGGAGAGAGAGTTGATAGACAAGGAGAAGTTGATGCTTGATCTCGAAGCGGAAGTGACCCGTGTTGGGATTGACTTGGATTGGCTTATCAAGGAGGGGGTTGTTAGGAACATGGAAAAGGTTATTGAGCTTTGTAACTTTCATCAAGGAGTTGGTTGGATCAAGCATATATACGTTTCTGCTGGTGAAGAGTCTTGGAGGGAGGCATTGCACAAGGAAGTTGTTGTTGCGACATTTGATCCCCATGATGCTAGATCAACTTCCAGCCATACTAGAGAGATGGCGAATGCTACTGACTCATTCGTCACATGTGATTACGCCACCCTCATGAAGTTAGGCTCTCTAGATATTAATAGCCTTCGTCAACTCTATGTGGATGATGATAGTGGAGGAGTGGGTCCAAGCTATAACACCCGGAATCTAGAAGGCTAATTATGGAAAATAAAACCTCATTTTTAAAGGTCAACTCGTCGAGTTTAAGGCATAAACTCAACGTGTAGGAATTATGAGTCACGCGCATTTTCGAAGATCAACTCGACGAGTTGGAGGGGACCAACTCAACAAGTTGGTCGCAGTTTGAGAAACCCTAAATTCGGGGTTTTTGCACCCTATTTAAACAACTTAAGCTCTAGGGTTTGGCCTCATTTCCAACCTCCATCGTCTAAAACCCTAAGCTCGAGACCCTAAGGCCATTTTTGAGTGTTGTGAGTTCATAAAGAGTATTTGTTGGTGATTCTGGAAGGAGACTTGAAGAGGGAAGCACCTAGCTTGGAGGAGTGACTCTATATCCAAAAACCCTTCATCAATAGCTGCATCTTTGAGGTATAAAGTCGTTACCTTGGCATATAGCTTACTAGATCTCTTTTCTTGAAGTTTTAGCTTGAGTTTTGGGGCTTTGATCAAATGGTCCGAAGAGAAGAGGTTTCCAGGGGTTAATGGGGTAGATTTGACCCCTATATGACCTATTGAGGCTTAAAGTTGCAAACATTAATGGCCTCAATGTCCCATTCATGCAATATGTCCATTGTGAAGCCAAAAATGGACATTTGAGGGTGTTTCTAGCATGCATGAATGTAAAGTTGGAAACTATACGTGATTTGTCCATCTTGGGATATCAGATCTGTATGTTGGTGTGTTGTAGCAGGAGTTTAGGGGCTTAATGGATCAAGACCACCTTTAAAGAAACTAGGGTTTGAGTTTTAAGCTTAGTAGATGGTTCTTGAGGGTAAAGTTGGAAACTTTACCCTTCTAGACATCATAATGGAAGGGACCTGAGGTTTGGAGCTGTTGGATTCGAGAAAAATGGCTTAATGCATTAAGAATGGTTAATAGACTAAAGAACTCGACGAGTCCACAAAGGAACTCGACGAGTTGATGTGAGTATGTCCCGATTCTGTTGAAAAGGAAAGAACTCGAAGATTTAAGGGAGAACTCGACGAGTTGATTCGTTGTATCACGATTATGTAGTTTATGGGAACTCGTTGAGTTGAAGGACAACTCGACGAGTTGAGTCAACTCGGAGTGTTGACTTTGACCTCGACTTGGATGTTGACTTTGACATTGACTTGAATTGGCCAAGATTGACCCCTGGAGGGTTATGAAGTACGGAGTGGGTTCTAAAGGGGTAGTTCCATGTAAGGGTTTGGGCCCAATTTGGAAAATTTGGCCATTGATGGGCTTTCATGGATTTTATAGTTTGGGACTTGATGGGTCAAGGGTGATATGGTCATTTCACCCCAAGTAAGGATTATGGATCATGGTTTGGGACCCAATTGCTAATTGGGTGATATTTTGGTATTGATAGCTCGAGGAATTGTCAGGGCAGCAGCTAAGGATTTCGTACAGTGAGCTTCAGCATTGATGTGAGTCTCCTCACTGTTTGTATGCGTCGAAGGCACCAAGGCCGGCCCATTTGGTTTATGTACTATAGGAAGACCCAGGGGTTAGCCCTAGACATTATGTATGAAAGAACAGGAGGCGGCTCGTGGCACACTATATGCTAATTAGCTAAGTAGAGTAGTATGTATGCCGGTTGTCTTTGTGATGCTTGTATGGAAGAACAGGATGTGGCTCTTGGCACTTATCTGTAAGGCCCAGGGGGTGGCCCCCGGCTTGGCAAGGAAGACCATGAAGCGGCCCGTGGTATAATGGCAAGACTATGTACGACACATAGCACCTTTATTGATTATGATATATGAATGATATGTATGGATCACGGTTATGTATGGCATGTATGGATCAGTTGATATGTATGGTATGTGGTATTTGGGGAACTCACTAAGCTTCATGCTTACGGTTTTCAGTTTTGGTTTCAGGTACCTCCAGTTTTCAAATAAAGGAGCTCGGGATGATCGCAGCGCATAAACCTATGTTTTTCCGTAATATGTGATTTCTGGGAATGAACTTTGATCAATGTTTTATTTAAAATGCTTTTCAGTGTGTAAAAAAGTTACAATAGTGTTTTAGTTATATTAAAAATGAAATTTTTACCTTGGAATTTATGGGTTGTTACAAGTTAGTATCCAAGCCTTGGTTTGAGGGATTCGGGCATACTCTCGGGTATGCCTGAACTCAAACTGAGGGCTTGATGAAATTTTTATAAAATAAACATTTAATTACAAAAGAATTTCTAAGTAAAGAAAGGGGTGTGATGCGTGCAATCGACCGAGCTCAAGTAACTGGTTCCCAAAATACCAATACATGTTTGTTATGTGATATGATATGATTATGTGATTCACATGCTAGATTAGAGCTAAGGATCTAGGAGAGATGTCTTTGTATGCTTATATAAGCTTGTAGATTTGCATGCTAGAACTGATCAGCCAGTGGTAGGATGACCTGTTTAGGTTATGCCTGATTGTATGAGCCTTCGAATTGCATGCTAGTACAGGTTCCTGATTAGAGGATAGAATGGTTTGATTGGAGTATGTTGGTTAGTTTTTCCATTGTCCGAATGTTGCTTGCGTTGTGCTTTGTGGGACTCTTAGCAATGTGAGTTAGCTACTAAGTGAATATGCTAAGTCACATGTGGCATAGGCTGGATAATCTCAGAGTGATGGATTTGACCCTATTGTGTAGCTCTTGTTTGAGTCCAACCGTTCTAGGGTTGAGTCTTTTACTCGAAGGATTATCTAATCTTTGTTGCATGTGGCTATATTCATAAGGTAGCTAGTTGACATTAATGGAAATCCTTCAGCAGCTAAAGGCTGGGTGGGTTCGGGAACCTAGGAAAGTCTAGGATATGATGCAGTGGGTTAGTAGTATGGTTCAGTGAGTACTGGCATAATGGTTTGAAGAAGTGGCTTAGAGGATTTAGGAGGATTGCTGAGGAAAGTATGGATAAGTGTGGAAGGTAGTATTGGGCCCGTACTACTGAAAGCACATAATCCATACTCGAATAGGTGAGAGTCTTGGAGAATCTAAGAAGCTTATGAGAGGTGGGTTCTTGGGGAGAGTTCTCATTGTTGGCTTGATTGTATTTCAGTTTGGAGATGAGCTCTCAGGGAGATGGTTCAGGTTCGGGTTCCGGCTCTGGTGCACGTGTTGAACCAATTAGCGAGCAGTTGCGAGAGTTCATTTCATCAGAGATCTCTCGCTGTGTTTCGGAGATAGTGGACGAGCGCTTGGGCGCGTTCTGTGCGGAGATTATGGTTATCATTGGAGCTCGCACACTGACTTTCCGGGAGTTTCGTGCTTGTGGAGCTCCTGCGTTCCATGAGGAGAGGGACCCCATTGTTAGTAGGAGGTGGTTAGCAGATATGACTAACGCGTTCAGGATGAGTTTCTGCCCCGAAGAGGCGAAGGTCAGATATGCTTCCTGCCTGTTGAAGGATCGGGCACGTGGTTGGTGGGAGAGATCGGTAGTGAGTTGGGTGATGATGCAGTCGATGTTATGTCATGGGATGACTTCTCGACCAGCTTCCGAGTTGAGTTTGCACCGACGATTGAGGTGCAGCAGTTGGCGTGAGAGTTTATGGATCTCCGCTAGACTACTGAGACTGTGGCAGAGATCACTGCCAAGTTCCGGGAGAGGGCTTTATTAGTACCGCAGTATGTAGCAGACGAGGAGATGAAGAAAGTTAGGTATCACGATATGCTGCGGGATGACATCAGGAAATTCGTGAGTATTTCAGGGAGCGAGACCCTAAATGATATGATCTCTAGAGCCCGAGAGTGGGAGATTGATTTGGAGAACATTGAAAAGAGGAGGTCAAATCAGGTTCATACTTTGGAGGGTCCCGAGAAGAGACCCAAGACTTCTGACCAACATTCGAAAGGCCACCAGGACCGGAGTCAGTGCAGCACGTGCGTGAAACTGCATGATGGGGCTTGTCGTTCCAGGGGTTTGGGTTGCCACAAGTGTGGTCGGGTTGGCCACGTCAGCAAGGAATGTCCTCAGGGAGCAAGTCCGTTATGCTTTCACTGCGATCGGGTGGGCCATAAGAAGGCCGACTGTCCGACGTTGAGGGGAGGGACAGTGAGCGCGCCTGATCTAACTTCTTTGAGGATCACCGATGGACGAGATGGTGGGGCAGGAGCCCTAGCAAAGAGGAGTTGAGTTCTGCATGTATGTATCTTTTGCCTTCTTTCAGGTTATTTATATATGTGCTTATGGTTGTTGGAATCTTGCATCAGTTCGGGTAAAGCATATATCCGATTCACTTCCTTGATCATGTATAAGTTATATCTTCAAGTAGTGTCATATGCCATTTGCATATCGTGCATTGTTAGTGGTTAGTTTAAGGTCGTTTCCCTTTTTGCTGGTTCGGGGTGTTCAGCGTTATCTCGAATCGTGGTCGAGAGCGGTTCAGGGGCATTATGTGGAAGGTCTGCGGTTAGGGTTCAGCAGGGTGGTTATCCACCCTCGTCAGGATTAAGAGGGTTCAATCATTGTGCTCAGATTGACTCATGGGTTCGCCAAGGGAAGTGGTCTACTACCAAAGTTTTGCTCTGAGCATCGATTAATTGGACTTCAAGATCTGAGTACGATATCATTTCAAGGAATCTGGAGTTATCAGTATTGTTGGGATTCAGAAAGTGTTCATCTAGTCTTCAAAGGGTGTATGGTCTTGTAAGTTCGGCTAGTAATGAGTCGCTAGCATTAGTAAGCGTTGGTTGTCAGTAGATCGATCATTGGAAGGTAGGAAGGATCAGAAATGTAAGTCCCCAAAAATGCTTGATGTATTAATCAGATCCACTTGATGGTGCGGAATCCCAATCAAGTGGATGATGCAAGATCAAATAGAGAATAAGAAGAAGAAGAACTTGATGAATCTATGATGTATTTGTTGGATTAATGTCTAAGTCCATAACTATATTTGGTATGTACTTGACCCGACCCGGCATGGTCCATTTGGGTTGCACTTCACCGGCACAATTTATATGGATAGTCTTTTGAGAATAGTATATTTATGATTTATATTAATATATTA